AAGCAAACATCTATAATACCAATCATTTTGCAGGATCCATTATTTCCCATCCTTACAAAGCCAAGATCGCCGCTAGTGTAAGATGTGAAGTAATCTTTGTTTGTAGTTAGATGATATGAAGCACCTGTATCAATCACCAGCTACAATCTTCATTTGTAAGGTTATAACATGAGTCATCACCTGCAAAATAAACTTCATCACAAACTGCTGTAGCCGTGACATTTTTCTTGTCTTCATTATCACCACTCTTGTCATTCTTTGATCTCATGTCCCTTTTCCATATTCGACATTCACTTTGCTTATTTCCTGCCTTATGACAATAAAGCAAGTGAACCTCTTCTTGGATTTCGATCTGGCTCTCGTTTTATCTTGGCTTTGGGAGCCTTTAAACATTGGTCTCCCTCGACTTTCAACAATGTTTGCTTTAGTTTGATTATTTGTGGAGGCAAATTCTTTCCTTCTAGCTTCTTCATTGAAAAAGCTATCTTTAACCATGTTAAGGGTGAGTTTACCATTCAGAGCCGAATTGCTCACCAAGTTAACAAGAGTTTCCCAGTTATGGGGTAATAAGGCTTGGACTTCATCTTCAATTGTCATGCTAACATTTGTTAGCTGATTAACAATGCCTTGAAATTCATTTATGTGTTCTGCCATATTTTTGCCTTCTTTATATAGAAGACGAACCAACCTTCTCACCAATGTAGCTTTATCTAAAGTTGTCTTCCTCTCATACATTGACTCAAGCTTTTACCAAAGTTTGTAGGCATTGGTATCATTAGCAACATGTTGAAAAATGCTTTGATCAATATGTTGTCGTACAACCCAACTGCCTTCCGATTCTCCAATTTCCATACATCTTCGGTTTTACTTTCCGGTTTATTTTCTTCCTCGATGGGTTTATACAAATCCTTACAATAAAGGATATCCTCCATTCGAGACTTCCACATGGAATAGTTGGACGACGTCAATTTAATCATTCTCGATAAGCTTACCATCGAATCTTCCATTTTGTTTTATACGTGTATGTCTGTAACTAACTCTGATACCGTGTTGGGAATGATTACAAATAATCTTGTAGCGGAAATAATATTCACTCTCCCTTTCTGTATAAACAAAATAGGTAACAATTATATCTCTATAATATAATATATTTACTCACAAAGTGTTTATAAACTATAAACTAATATTCGATGGTATACTCTTAAATTTAAATATGTTTCTCTATTTATCAAAGCAATGTGATACAAATTCTATCTGGATTACGATCATCATCACCAAAGACTAAATGATTACACAATATATATAATCCTTCTATTACTAAATAATGAGCGACTTGAATGAGATAACTATACCCCATTATTATTATTCTTCTCCCTAGTTTTCCTCTACATCATTCTTTTACTTTCTTTCCTGTAAATTCTCCTTTGTTATTTTTTAGCAAACTCTAAAAATACGGAGGAATATTATCCAGCATCCTCCCACCTCCCTACCCCCTTCCATGGCTACCCATCACCATAACCACCACAACCCCACCCACTGTCCGCCTTAGATGTAACCTCAACCCCACCCACTGCCACCCTGAACACTCAACTCCACCACTGCCAACCCCAAAACGGAGAAACCCCACCCAACCACTGGAAAACTCTCTAATAACCACCCCGAAATCCCAACCCCGACCACGAAAATCTCTACCCATGCCGGAAAATCCCTTAACTACCCTGAAAACCCAACCCCGACCCCAAAAACCCCATCCCTAGCCTCGAAAACCCCCTACCTACGAAGGAAAACCTTAGCCACCACCCAAAACACCAAACCTCGAAACACCCACCCCTATCCCCCCAACGAAAACCCCCTATCCACCCCTGAAACACCCATCCCCCCACCTCAATAACACCACCCCAACCCCAGAGCTTCCCCTCATCCCCCCTTTTCATTTTTGCTCCTCTGATTCAACAGCATCATCACCATCAGACATCAGTTTTTCTGATTCAATTTTTAATCAGAAGGGAAAGACGGGGACAGGGGTGGGGTTGTGAGGGAAGGCGAGGGCGGGGATGTGGAGGGGAAGGGGGTGGCCGTTTAGGCCGGGGGCGGTGCAGGGGTGCTGAGGGCTTTTTTTCAATATAAAATTATTTTTATTTTTTTTAATTATTAGAAAAAATAAAATAAACCTATTAAAAGTCGACACGTGACATATAACCTAAGAAAACCGGTCACCAAGGATTGATAAAAGAAGATCCCCGTAAAATGTGGGATTGTTTTGGAATAAATTGAAGGTCGGATTATTTTGAGAAGACCGAACAAAGGTTGAAATATACATCTAGACGAATGTAACAAGACTTCACATGACCACTTTTTTCATAACGTATAAATCACAAAAGATAGTCAAAATAGATACTTTGAATAATGTAAAATTTCCAAAGTTCCAATTAAAAATGAACAAATGAATAGAGGAAGTAAATATAGTATTTTTTGCTTTACTTATAAGGGATAAAATTGGTTCTCCTTTGGTTTTGCTTCTCAATTCTCATTGAAAGTCTAAGGCTGCTCAAGATGAGAAGGTTGAGACTTAGTTATGGCCTTTTATAGAGATGAGATGTTCATGATTATTCAGCATTTTCATCTTCTATTTTTCCCTCTTTGGACTTTTTTCCTTTTGCCCAATCTCCTTGGCCCTTACAGATTTCCCATTCCACCATTTATATTCAATTTGAAGCTTTGCAATGCTATTGTAAGATTAAATTTTCAAACGTGTTGATGATGCTTAAGGTTCCACTTGGAAAAGTAACATATAACTGCAATAAACTTTGTTTTGAAACTAAAATTTCTCGCATTTACAAAGCTATTTAATTAATTGGTGATAAGTGTTAGATCTTAATTAAATTTTTTGGACATAAGTTTAAGATTTTAATCCTTTAATTTATATTTATTCAAGTGTTCACACCCTAATATGATTTCTTGACCGTTAATTCATTCTCTGGACTAAGGCTTTGTTGTTGTAATTCAATCTCTATTTTTCGCTATGTTTTTATTTATGTATTTCTTGGACATCTTACTTTTGGTTTGGACTTGAACTTTGAAAATTATTCAGGAGTCTTTGTTTTGTGGGTGTTTTAATTTAGATGAGTCTGAAAGCTTGTTTCTCAAAACTGAGTGTCCTATAAAGAGTGTAAGAAGCCCCAAGTCATTCTCACCCTTTCCAACAATACTATAAATTTAAAGTATACACATATGTGTATTGTGTTTTTGTGCACATGTAGTTCTCACCCTTCTCACATTAAATATAATATTTATCACTTTATATATTAAGAAAATTATCAAGACAATTATTCATATTTTAAGTACTCTGTATTAAAAACCTAGAATTTTAAGTAGATTTGATGCTTGCAAAAATTTGAGACAGCTAACATCATGCTAAAGTCATCACCCACTTCATAACTATTTATTGTAAAATTATAACTATTAATCTGCCCCAACTATTAACATATTAATCATTATTATACAGAATTCCATAACTTTCAACCATATAACCATAATCATGAACAAAATACATCTTATACAACCCAAAACTGATAACTAACCCGAAAACTATTAACCAGATAAAAATCATAACTATTTATCTAAACAGCGCGTTTTGTGTTACATCCTGTGGCCGCTTGTAAAAGAATAAAGTAACCCCTAAAACACTGACCGAGTAACCCCTGTAACACTGAACGAGTAACCCCTATATCACTGACAAAGTAACCCCTGTAACACTAACAAAGTAACCCCTGAATAGTGATTAGGTAATCCCTATAACACTAATGAAGTAACCCCCATTATGGCTTGCCACATAACATGTGGCCAGCCACACATAAGAATTTGTGTTACCTAAAATCATATTTTACTAAAAAAAAAATCATAATATCAATCCATAACTATAAATTGAAAAACGATAACAACTAATTCAAAAACTTTTTATTAAAAGAAACTATTGTGTATTGACCCAAAAAAATCTTTATTTCCTCTTTGTTCCTCAGTGACAGTTGAATGTGATGTGGTACTATGCTTGGATTTTTTTTTTTAAATTGCATTTCGGCCAATCTCTGGTGGCCAGTCGCCAGTGCTCTCGCCTCTATGCTTTTAGTTGTTGAACTTACACTTAACATACTACAAATCTTAACATCAATCACCCAAAATCAACCATTTGCATGTATAAAAATCCTACATAGACCAACTAAACTACCCAAAGAAACAAATATTTCTCAAATTTCTAGCATCTAGAGGAACAAAATAACAAGAACAAGCTATTAAGCTGATTCAATAATTTGGATCAGGGGTCTCGTAATTTGTAAGCTAATGTATCTCCCACACAATCGAGCTCTCATGTGTTTGGCCCATGATCGGTGGATGGCTGTTCTAAGGCATGTACCCGTGGGCCCTAGCACTACTGGATGTCATTTTAAGAGAAAACGAGAATGAATGTGAAACAAAATAATTAACACTATGCTCCCTATTAGAATGTTCAACCTACCCATTCTGGTTTGCCAGCAGCATGAAGCAGAACACTATAGTATATTAGACCTTTTCACCTAGTCCTAGGTTTACAGTCATAATCGGTTCTTGTATTATGATTGCTCAAGGTTCTGTTTCCAATGTCTACAGATCCTTTGGATTGAGTTCAACTTTGTTGTGTGAGCTCTCATTATGTTATTGTCTTGCCTAAATTCTGATTATTACCAATTATAAATATGTATTTCTCTTTAACCATAATAATTTACTCTGTACTGTATATGTTGTGTTTGAAACCGCAACTTTTTAATTTGGTTATCCAATTCATTTTTATAAAACAGCTGGGGATCAAAGGACTTCCAGGATTCGTTTGTGTTACGTCCTCGTTTTCTTTTTTGAGCTTTACATGCCCACTTGATGTCACTATTTTGTTATGAGTATCTTGAACATCTATATGCTATTTCTGCATTCTATGCTGCTGTTAACTTTTGCCAAATTTGATTTTGCAGGGGAGATGAGCAGTACCTGTATGTTGGCGGTTTGGATATTAAGACTGGTGATACATTTCGTTTTTATATTCCTGATAGAGAATATGCATTGGATTCATGTGCCACTGTATCTGAAAACTTTGGAAAGCTAAAGGACAAGGATATCATCGGAGGTTTAGTCTTTTCTTGCTGTGGCCGTGGTGAATTTTTTTTTGAGAAGCCAAATGTTGATAGCTCCCCATTCTTGGATAATTTTCCTAATATTCCGTTGGCAGGAATGTTTTGTGGTACAGAAATTGGACGTGGTTTCCCCAATTTAGGGCAAGAAGAAGCTTCTGAAAGTCTCTTGCATGCCTATAGTTCTATCTACCTACTTCTGTCTTACATTCCGCCTACTCCTAGTTCATAGAATGCTAACGGAGAACCTCTCCGTGCTTGCTTAAAGAGGGTCTTGTATGCAAAGCAAATGACAACTATTGAGAAAGCTCTGTCTGTTTTGTTTGTACCCTGATAGAATATGTATAACTGCTTTAATTTCATGCTGGTGATTGTTCTTTACAACATTACTCCGAGTTATTTGCTAGTAAAACTTGAAATATATTTGTCTTATTATACAAGTAGCGGCAGCGCGCAAGTTAGGTTGCAATCTGATTTAATCCTCAAATGAAGATAAAATATATTTATTATAGAGTGCACGAGGATGTTGTAGTTGTACATTAGGCCTTATATTTGGACTTAGCTTGTTGGTCAGTACCTATTTTAAAGTTGTTTAGCCCATTTTATTAAATATCTATACTTACTACTCCCTCAGTGTTTAAATAATGAAACGTTTGTTTTCGAACAAGCAACCTCTACCTCTAAAACTAAGTGTTGCTATGTCATATTTTATACTTCGTATTCTTTATTGAATACAAAATATTAATATGTAGAGGATGAAAAATATGAAAACAACTTTTATTACAAAAAAGTTAAATCATTAATTTAAATGTATACTAATAATCAACTGCATGTATCTGACCCGATGCATTTCCTGGGCCAAAATACTAGTTCATCTTTAGAGATGGATGCACTCTATTTAAATACAGAGTAACTCGAATGACTAATTTATTTATTTCTAAATGAAGAATTTTAAATGACCGTTTAATATTATCAAGTCAACTGAGCAATAATTTTGTGTATACATACAAATTTAGATCCAATCTTAGAATAGCAAATACTGTTTCGGGAGAGCACCGATAACTTGTATCTGAGTCGGTAATAGCTTATTGCCAAATGGATGCCTTTACAGTCAACGTAGATTAGCTGTTCTCGTGGTTTGTCCTAAGTCCGATGCTAAAGTCAGTAAACTGGATGATAAGGATATGAAAAGTGATATGAGAGTGTTTTGATTAAGAAAATCATACCTTAAAAGTGAAATATGCTTGGGTATTTATAGAAATTCCCAAGTTGGTACCACATGTCGGTCCACGTAGTTGTCTTGTCAAGTGGATGGTGGGTGTCCACGTGGTCGAAAGCATGTCTCCACGTGGCTGGCGAAATAGGTTGATATGGGCAATATAAGAAATGTTACAGATGCTAAGATCCGACCCGATTTACTTGATTCATATCGATGTCGGTATCATTCTAATTACCACGACTTGGCTAAAAGGATGAATTATAAATTAATTGTAAACATCATGTGTGTTTCTAAGGAATGAAACAACATAAAGTTTTATTACTTGTCCAAATGATTATATTTGCTAAGACTAGAGCTGTGAATTCGGATATTTGGGTCGTGTTTGAGTCAGGTCAATGTGGATCGGGTCAACTCGGGGTTAATATTATTACCTTTGCGGGTTAGGTTCGGGTCGATTCAATGTGGGTTGGGTCACGTTAAGTCATGTATCCTATTGGGATTGGGTCGTGTTTTGATCGGGTCAATAAAAGGTCGAGTTAAATATGGGTCGGATTAATAACAGGTCGGGTTAAATTCGGGTTTCAACGGTTATAATGGGTTAGAGGCTTTCACAGCTTTTGGGTTGGGTTCGGTTCAGGTCAATAATTTGAGGGTTGGTTTGAGGTTGGATCATATTTTGTTTGGGTCACTATTTTCTCGTGTTCAAACACATCAGGTCATGGTCGGGTTCAGATAAATTTTTCAAGTCAGGTTATCATCGGGTCATTGTCATACAGTCATACTCGTGTTTAATCATTATCAAGTTCAATTTAAAACTAGATAAGTTTTTATAAGGGTTACCCAAGTTCAATTAAATAAATAAATAATTTCTAAGAGGTGTAATAAGTTCAAAGAATTTAAAATAAGTTCTGATAAGTAAATTAGGTGAATATCACCTACCTTTAGTGCTTGAATATTTATAATCATTTCATCTGAGATAATTTTAAACTAAATAAGTCTTTTGTTAGACTATATTTCATTCACATTTTTACAGTTATTTTAGGAGAAATCATTTCAAATAAGTCTAGATTCGAGCTAATAAGTTCAAATAAATTTAATTAAATAAAATAAGTACAATTTATTTTTTTGAAGAAACGTTAGCCGGACAATATTATTAAATCATATCAATTTCCGCCAAAGTAACACAACTTTGGGGGAAATTATCAAACCATACACATGTAGTATCATTTGTACAAAACCGAGCAACTAAGTGTGCTAAAGTATTACCCGACCTACGCACATGACTACACTTAAAAGAAGAAAAAGAAGTTTTCACACTCTTGATATCCTCGTAGAATAGCATAAGAGTAGAGTATCCCACATCTTCATTGTTGATGGTACGCACCGCATTAGAGGCGTCACATTCAAGCTCGACCTTCGTATGCCCCAACTGACATGCAAGCAACACACCTAGCCTCGCTGCCGCCACTTCAGCCTGCTCCACACCCCATCTCGCTTTCACACACCTGACAGCAGCAGTAATAATGCTACCCGCATCATCCCTTAACACAGCACCAGGTCCCACCATACCACCAGCCCCTAAGTGAGCATCCGAGTTGATTTTAATAAACCCAGCAGCAGATAGGCGCCAGTTCCCAGGGGCAGCATTACCTGTAATTCCAGCAGGCCTAAAAACTCTAGCGGCATACTCAGCATAATCTTGGAGCGATTTTGTGAAGTTGGTGGCCACAACGGAAGGATCAGCCACAGGTTCTTGGTGCACCCTCATGTTCCTACAAAACCAAGCTGCCCAGCAAAGAGTACAGAACAGGCTTAGTTCATTTTTGTTAAGTCTGTTCGCAACCCACAAAAAGCGATCAGCAAAAGAAGAGTTTGGCAAATCAGCTAGCATTTGGATGCATTTGAAAAAGCGCAAATTTCACCTCCTCTGCCGTTGGCTCACAATCAAGAACATTATTCATTTCCATCGATACAACTCTTTCCATCCCGATCAAGGCATCATCAAAATCAACAGGGCCCTCTGAAGCGAACAAATGAGAAAAAAAGTCGGACACAATGTCTTTAACTTCCTCCTTGTCCGTACACCGTACTCCCTGATCATCATGCAAGCCCTTTGTTGGGTATGACCCAAATTTTATAAGCCCATTATATATATAGATGGAGTATAATCTAGAAGCTTTCTGAAAAATCAAGAGAAGATTGCACTTGATTTTTCTAGAGTTATCTACAATCTTAATATTCCCTAGAATATTCTAGAGAATAATTAAAAGTGGAAGCCACTGGAATAAGAGGCATAATTATGGGGAAATTTCCATAGGAATCTAGAAACCTCCATCATCACCTATAAATATTGGTCAAGGGCATTCAAACAATACAACAAGAACACAACACAAAAACACAACACAAGAAGCCATACCAAACACAAGCCTCCTCCTTGTAATATTCCACTACTATCGTAATACTCCTTTATGAGTACTTCTTATAGTGAGAATTCTCTTGTAATACTCACCCTCTTAAGGGTTCTTGTACTCTCCTACTTTTAAATAGTGGAATGAAAGTGCTCGTTGTTACACAAAATCGTGTTTTCATTTATATTAATTATCTTGCTAATTATCAATTCAATTTACACTTCTCAATCAAACACATCTTCGCTTCCGCTGTGCACTCACCAACCCTAACACCCTTAATAAAAAATTTCTTTTTTCGTTGACTTGCTCTGTGGTGGAAATATTTGGCATTTTTGTCCCCGTCACAAAGTTCATTTGCCTTAGCCCGAGTATGCCAATACGACTCTTCCAACATGTGTAACTCGTCAAGCTCCTCACTAAGTGCTTTACACCTTGCTAATACATATGCATCAGGAAGCTGATTTTGTTATTGCTTCAATTCTTTCTCAGCATCACTAATCTTTTTCTTCACACTTCCAAAAGTAGTGGCTGCCCACTCAGATAAAGCCATAGCACAAGATTCAATTTTTCCAGGAACAAAATCAGCCGCATTTGAAGTCCATGCATTTGTAACTACATTCCCACATTCTTCTTTAGATAACCAAAGAGACTCAAATTTGAATATTCTGCTACTTCTTTGGCTCTCTACAGAATAATCGGACTTCAACAATAATGGAGTATGATCGGAGCGATAACGAGCTAAATGTAACACATCCGAGTTAGGAAAAAGATTAGACCAACTGACATTAGCTAAAAATCGATCTAATCGTTCTCTAAGAAGACTCCTCACTCCCCCTCTGCCATGTGAAACAGCAGCCCCTATATCCCATGTCATATAAAATAAGTACAATTAAATTCATGTAAATTCGGATTTTTAAATTAGTTTAGTCTAAAGAAGTCAAAGATAAATTCATGCCCTATTCTAATAAAATAATAACATATTAGTTCAGATTTAAGTTAATAAGTCACATAAGTTTTGATAAGATAAATTAGGTTCAATTACGATCATATTAATTCGGATAAATGTATTAGGTTCAGTTACGATTATATGAATTTGAGGTGATTTGAATCCGGGTTAGGTTAATAACAAGTCAGGTTGAGTTCGAGATGGGTCAGGAACAGGTCGGTTAAATTTGGGTCAAGTCTATAATAAGTAAGTTGATTCAGGTCGGGTTAGTAATAGGTTGGGTTAAATTCGGGTTTCGACGGGTTAAAAAAAGTTTGGGTCAATCTTGGTTCGGTTCAGGTCAATAAATTACGGGTTATATTCAAGTCATCTCCAAGTTGGGTCATGTTTTGGCTCGGGTCTCAAAAACTCAGATTTACTCGGGTTTAGGTCGTTTCAAGTCTTGTCATGTCGGGTTCGGTAACCATTTTCTCGGGTTTCAATAGGTCGGATCATAATCGGGTTTGGGTAAATTTTTCAGTTTGCGACACTGGGATATTCTCTTTAGTAACACTATATTTTTATTTTTCTCTTTGGCGAATTGTGAAAAAAACTATCCTTGGTATTCTTATGCAATCCATATAAGTTACTCATGAAATTAATGATGTTTTTTTTATTAATTTTTTATCTATAGTTAAGTATTTTTACTTTTTAACAATTAAAACAACATACAATATATAACTAAAAAAAATTATTTTAATATTCTTTTTTACACACAAAAAAAAAACCACCCCTCCCCTGCAATAGCCCCTAGCTTGCTCCCCTGTTGGCGACCCTACCCCCCTTATTGGTGATATACAAGTTGCTGCTGCTGCTACTACTACTACCTTTACATTAGCATGTAATCATGAGGCCAAGGAGCAACTCGGTGAAGGATTATCTGCATTACTTCTCTCAAGTATTCTGGAAGCTCCTAGATAGTTCTAGAGCACTTGTACAACTTAGCATTGCCATCTTAGAATTCTGTTTTTGGTGTATTTTATAGCTAATTCTTAATCTTGTAAGTTTGTATACTTTGCTATAAAGAGTCCTAGAGCTGTAATATTATCATACAATCAATAATAAAAATTCTTTTCCTAAAATTTCTCTCTATAAATTCTCTCTAAACTTCTGCTAGTATTTTGAGAAAATAGAAGAAATTCTGCTAAGATTGCAAAATTTAGCATGGTATCAGAGCAAAATTATCTCGATTTTGATGATTGTTCAAGCTTCGTTCCGCAGATCTTCTTTGTTATTTTCAGTCTAGAAAACTTCTCAATTTCATTTTTGAGGTATTACTCAAATCAAACTGCAAATCTCTTGCATAATTACAGATAATTCTCCTGCAAATTGTTGATTGTTTTTGTTAATAGAAATATGAGTTCTAGTTGAACTTTAATCAAATTTTGAGGTCTTTACCTAGTTTGATTTCTCAGTCTAAAAAATTCTTCACAAATTTTAAGCTCAAAGCAATCTATAATACCTAACAATGGCAGCACACAATCACATTCCTCTTCCTATTGGCCAAGTTCCTTCTTCTCCTTACTATATTCATCCTTCTGATATGAACTCCATGCAATTTGTCTCGAACAAATTCAAGGATGAAGGTTTTACTGACTGGAAGAGAAGCATGACTATTTCTCTCTCAACTAAAAATAAGCTAGGTTTTGTTACTGGCATAATCAACAAACCTAATCTTCAATATGCCTCTTACAAACAATGGGAAAGGTGCAATGACATGATCATTTCATGGATTATGTACAATCTTGATGCTATGATAGCTCGTAGTGTCTTGTATTTTAATATTGCAGCTGAGATATGGAAGGATCTTGAAGATAGATATGGTTACACTTCTGGACCACAGTTGTATTCAATTTAACAACTATCAAAAGCTCATCAAAATGCAGATTCAATTGATGCATTTTTCACCAAAATGAAGATGCTATGGGATGAATTGCACTTGCAATCTTACTCAAAAGATTTTCAAACTACAACAAGATCAGAGGCTAATGCAGTTCTTGATGAAGCTCAATGAGCATTATGCTATTGTTTGAGTTAATATTCTGATGATGAATCCTTTGCCTCATTTGAGCCAGGCATATAGGTTACTAATCTAGGAAGAGAGGCACAGAGAACTCAGTAATATTCATAATACTAGTCAAGGAGGTTCTGTTTCTATGGTTTTTGCCTCAACTAGAAGATTCTCAGACAGACTACATAACAAAGGTTTCAAGCAACCTGAGTCCAGATTTAGCTGCTAGGCTAATTAAAAAAATAATAATGGCAGAGTTATGGCAAGAAACAATAGATTTGCGTCAACTTTTTGCAATCATTGCAACAGGCCTGGTCATTCAGTTGACAATTGCTGGAAAGTTACATGGCTATCCAGATGATCTCAAGAAGAATGTATGGCAGAAAGGGAGAGGAGTTGCAGCTGCTGCTCAACAAACTAAGACAAGCACTGATGCTGCTCAAGAAGATCACTCAGATAAGGTTTCTGGTCCAGTTTTCACTATTAATCAGTATAATCACCTGCTGGAATTGTTGAACAAGTAGAATTCTAATATGCAGGCAATCAAAACTCAAATTTAGATGTTGATGCTCAGGCAAACTTAGCAGGTAAATTTTGTCTTACTACCTCTCTAAATGTTGGTTGGTCAGTTGATAGTGGTGCTACAGATCACATTTGCACTAATTTGAACATGTTTACTAGTTTCAAAGAACTCCATGGCATGAACAATACTATTACTATTCTAGATGGCAGTAAGATTAGTGTCCTGCATATTGGAACTGTGACTTTAAATGGTGATATACAGTTGAAAAATGTACAGTATGTTCTTACTTTCAAGTTCAATTTTCTATTTGTTCCCAATTTATGCAAGGATATGAAGTGTAAAGTTTTGTTCACACATGATGCATGTTTTGTTCAGGGCCATTATCAGAGTTCAATTCTTCTTGGTAAACTACATGTTGGTTTATACTATGTGGAAGATCAGAAGTGTCCTGGAAATTTTTCTTTGTCTAGTAATTTTCATACAAGTTGTAATAATACTAGTTGGAATCAAGCTAGTAGAAATGCCACTAAGATAGCAGAATTATGGCATCTTAGGTTAGGCCATTTACCTTTTCATAACTTCAAACATGTATTACCTTGTCATATTAAGGACTGCACTGACAGTATATTATGCAAGGTTTGTCCTGCTGCTAAGCAAACTAGGAAATCCTTTCCTAAGAGTTCAATAAAGAGTTGTAAACCTTTTGAATTAGTTCATATTGATGTATAGGGTCCTTATAAAGATCGAAAATATAATGGATATAATCAATTTTTTACTATTGTTGATGATTACACTAGATACACTTGGGTTCATTTGCTCTAATTTAAGAGTGATGCTGTCAATATTATGATGAATTTTGCTGCTTATGTTTATACACAATTTGACTCAAAAATCTTGTGTGTGAGGTTTGATAATTCAAAAGAATTGACTGAAGGACCAATGAAGCAATGGTATGTCAAAAATGGCATAATTCATCAAACTAGATGTGCAGACACTCCGCAACAGAATGGAATTGTGGAACACAAACATAGTCATCAGTTTTCAATCTAATCTTCCTGATTTTAGGGTGAAATCATCCTTTGTGCAGCAGACTTGGTCAATAAAATGCCAGTCAAGAGCATACAGTACAGTACACCTTATCAAAAGCTTCATAATGTTCTTGCTTGTATTGAACATCTGAGATCCTTTGGTTGTCTCTGCTATTACTCTACATCAAAAGTTTACAGGAGTAAATTTGATGCTAGAGCTTCCCCAGGGGTGTTTATTGGATATTCTTTACATCAAAAAGGATACAAAGTGTTGGATCTTACTACTTACAAGATTCACATCATTAGGGATGTTGTTTTCCATGAGCATCACCTTCCTTTTCACTTCAAAGACTCAAATACTACCTCTCCTATTCTTTTCCTACCTAAGTACACAACTTCTCATATTGACATTCCTGAGTCTCCTCACACTTTTTCTTCTCCTACAGAAATTCATCATCACAACACTTCTTATTCTTCACCTGAGAGTTCACATACGGATTCTTCTTCTGTACATTCACCTGTACCTTCACCTGTTTTTGTTCCTATAAATAAGACTACCTCTCAGGTTCATCCTGCTCCACCTCTCAAGAAAATAACTAGAGTTTCTAAAGAACCTTCCTGGATGAAAGACTACAAGTGTTATTCATCCAGGAGTCATTGGTGCAATCCGATTTCTTTCAACTCTCTTCCTGCTAAGTCAAAATCTAACATAGTTGCTGCTGCTCAGTTGATTGAACCTATTTCTTACTTAGAGGCCTCGTAAGATCCAAATTAGGTTCAAGCTATGGAGTCTGAGATTGCTGCACTTGAAAGAAACTCTACTTGGGATGTTGTCTCATTTCCTGCTTCTAAGAAAGCCATAGGCTGCAAATGGATTTACAAGTTAAAGCTCAAAGCAGATGGAACCTTGGAAAGATATAAGGCTAGACTGGTTGCCAAAGGTTTCACTGAAAAATATAGGTTTGATTTCGAGGAAACCTTTTCCCCAGTTGTGAAAATGTTTAAAGTTAGGTATGTCCTTTCTATTGTTGCTGCTCATAAATGACCTTTACACCAACTAGACATCAACAATGCCTTTTTACATGGTGAATTAAATGAGGAGGTTTACATGGAAATGCCTGAGGGCATTGCTAACCCAAAAAATAAAGTTTGTATGCTAAGAAAATCTCTTTATGGCCTTAAACAAGCTTCAAGATAATGGTTCTCCAAGTTACATAGTGAGCTGATTCTACAAGGGTATAAACAGTCCAAAAATGACTATTCTTTGTTCTTAAAGGAAGTCAATGGTAATCTCATTATTGTGTCTGTTTATGTTGATGATATCATCATAACAAGAAGTGATACAACAGAGATTCTTAAGCTGAAAGCTCATTTGGATGTAACTTTCAGCATCAAAGACCTTGGCAATCTCAACTATTTTCTTGGTATAGAGGTTACACATCTTGAGGATGGAATTGTTCTTACTCAGAAGAAATTTACCAAAGAATTACTATCTTTTTGTGAAATAGATGTTTCAAGAACTGCATCCACACCTCTGCCTATCAACCTCAAGCTTCTCACGGATGTTAGCGATTTTTGCCCTGGACCTGCACTCTACAGATCCTTGGCGGGAAAATTGAATTTTTTTACTCATACTCGACCTGGTCTCTTCTTTTCTGTCCAGACATTAAGCCAGTTCATGCATCAACCTCGAGTTTCTCACATGAAAGCATTGCATCATGTCCTGAGATATGTTACAGGCACCTTGGGTCAAGGTATATTACTAAGAGCTTCTTGTTTTCTTTCACTCAGACTCTGATTGGGCTGGTTGCCTAAACACAAGACGTTTTATCACGGGCTATGTTGTACTTCTTGGTGGTTCTCTAATATCATGGAAATCCAAGAAGTAAGGAACTGTATCCAAGTCATCTTCTAAAGCTGAATACAGGGCACTTTCCTCTGCTGCTCCAGAAATTACTTGGGTTATTAGACTACTTGAGGAGCTTGGTATTACAAATCTTAAGCTAGTTTCTTTGCATTGTGACAACCAATTGCCATTCACATTGCAAAGAATCCTGTGCACCATGAACGTACCAAACACATAGAAATTGATGTTTATTTCACTCGGGACAAAGTGCTTGATGGTCTCCTAGAGTTGAACTATCTTCCTACACATTAGCAATTGGCTGATGTCTTTACCAAGGCTTTGTCAGAACCTCAGTCCAGACATGTATTGTCCAAGCTTGGTCTTACTGATGTCTCAGCCACCCCAAGCTTGAGGGGGTATTGGTGATATACAGGCTGCTGTTGCTACTGCCCTCACATTAGCATGTAATCATGAAGCTAAGGAACAACTAGCTGAAGGATTATCTGCATTACTTCTCTCAAGTATTCTGGAAGCTCCTAGATAGTTCTAGATTCTTCTATAGTTTGTTACAAGCACTTGTACAACTCATCATTATGTTATAATAGAATGCCAGCTCAGAATTCTGGTGTATTTTATAGCTAATTCTTATTCCTGTAAGTTTGTATACTTTGCTATGAATAATCCTAGAGTTGTAATATTATCATGCCATCAATAATAAAAATTCTTTTCCCAAAATTTCTCTCTCTAAATTCTCTCTAAACTTTTGCTAGTATTTTGAGAAAACCGAAGAAATTCTGCTAAGATTGCGGAATTCAACACCCCTATATTTCCCCCACGTTCATATTTTTAATCTCCAATGAAGTTCAATCCTTGGCCATGGTCTTCCCCAACATCAATTGGCCTTGTGAATTTGAGCGTGAAAAACGCTGAATTGGAGGGAATATAGTGGCAATTGGTGGCAGTGAGGTGAGATTGCACTTGGTGGTTGTTAGGTGGTGCAATTTTCTACTGTTGGTGTCGATTTGAGGTAATTTTGATGGTGAATCACTGGAAGAGGCAGTGAATTGTTGGATTGGTGGTCTTGGCCTGGTGGATGAAGGTGTTATTGTGTGATGTTACTGTAAAGGGGTGAGAATTGGTGTTGATACAATGCTACAATTGGGGTTGCATGGCTGATGTGGGATGTAGCAATGATGGAGCAGAGGTGGTCGGTGGTTCCATTCTTAGTGTTTGCGGAGTGAGGTGGTTCTGGGGTTTGGTGATGTTACGGGTTGGAGTTGATGGTGAGTGCAGGGGAAGAGTGGGGCGTTAGGGAGGAGGTCGTGGGTAGGGGAATTGGGGGGGTGGGGGTAGACGGCGAATGACTAAGCGCCGGTGGAGGGGAAAGGGGTAGGGGGTACAGTGGTTGGCTGGGTGGGGAAGGTGGTGGTCCTCTTTTTTAAAAAAATATTTATAAAATAATCTAATTGTTAAAAAATTAACCATGGTTAACGATTTTAACTAAAATAATTATTGTCTTTGGTATTAGTAATACAAGATTACCAAAGATAATAATTTTTTTCCAATTCACCTAAGAGAAAAATAAGAAGTTGAGTGTTACCAAAGAGAATCATGTTCACCACATGTCTTATGAGCACTACCAATCCACAATCACATCATACATTTACAGTTTTAAACTAAAGTACTAAACCTTATGGTATTGGATCTTAGAGCACCCTTAAGGGTGAACAATTAAATGGTTCACAATGAGTGAACAATAAAATGGTTGGCTTAATGGCAAACTCTAAGTTTGTTCATCTTGAGTGGTTGCAAGTTCGATTGTTGCTGCAATCAGTCAGAGGAACAAATTCGTTGTGGGCCCCACCCAATTTTTCCACTCAACTAAAAGCAAACGACGTCGTTTCAAGGGAGCGCGCCACTTGGCCCGACCGCTGCTTGACACGTGTTGTCAGTTTTAAATATATCCGTTGTAATTTTACAACGGATATATTTTACAAAATACAAATCCAAAAAAAAAAAAAAATTACCAACGGCTTTCTTTTTTTCCCCTCTATAAATAGACACCCATATTGTTATACTTTCTTCAACTTTAAAAATCCATTTTCTTTTCTACTATATTTTTCTCTTCAAAAATCCCCTCACTAATTACCAATATTATTATTATTATTTTTACCAATATTAATATTATTATTGTTATTTATTATCATTAATATTATTATTATCGTTACTATTATTAATATTATTATTATCGTTACTATTATTATTATTATTATTATTATTATTATTATTATTATTATTATTATTATTATTATTATTATCGTTATTATTATTATTGTTATTATTATTATTATTATTATTATTATTATTATTATTTTTTCTGTTTATTAAGATTGTTAAGATTATTATTATTATTATTATTATTATTATTTCTGTTTATTAAGATTATTATTATTATTATTGTTATTATTATTATTATTATTATTATTATTATTACTATTAATATTAATTTTTTTTTTCCAATTATAAATTATAATTATGGATGCTAATACCAACCCCAATACAAATAGAAAGCAGAAAAAAAATTTGGGTCAAAATATTATCCCAAATCAAGCCAATTTCTATCCAAATCCCCCTAATTTTTCACAAACACCCACAAATATTCCCCATAATTTTTCTAGTGTTTATCCTCAAAGACCCTAGTCAAGTTTCCCATATAATCCACCAAATTTCCCTCAAAATTTTAATTTTTCTCAAAGCAGTTCAAATTTCCCACATCCATCCATGACACCAATGGGTTACGGTGAATATGGTGTTGCATCTGGTTATTTTCCGTCACAACAACCGAATCCCAATATTTGGGAATCGAGCAATGTCTTATCTGAAGAAGATGAGGCAAATGAAGAATGCGAGGATGATGGTGAGGGAAATGAAACTCCTTCCCCCCCATCAAAACTTCACTCAAATGTTACAGCAACCACTCCAATCAACTCCGGAATTTCGTGTTGGTTGTTCAAACAATAGAAGTTGGTCGCGATCAGAAACTGCGGCTCTTATATCCGCCTACATGAACACCAGCACCAACATAATTATCGGCACAAATCAAAAGAAGGGTCAATTTTGGAACAGAGTCTTGGACGCATACGATGCTGCCAGGGTATCGAATCCAGTTGAAATATCCCTACGAACTATTAGTAGTTTGAAGGGAGGGTGGATGCGAATCTCTGAAGCCGTGTTAAAGTGGTGCGGAAGCTATGATAAGGCCCGGAAGCGAAAGGGAAGTGGCTATAACGAAGATGATGTCATCCAAGAGGCCCACAAAATCCATGAGAACTCGTTCGGATGATTCACCTTCTACGAGGAATGGATCCAAATTAGGAAGTTTGACAAATTCCGGTCTTTCTTGGACCAACAAACATTCAAGCCTTCGGTGGGACGTCCACATTCAACTCCACTGACGGATGAGTCTGTAGGGAGCAGAAGTAGTGGGAAGAGGACACGGGATGAGGGTGACAATTCCTCACCTACCACACCGACCAGCGTGGGTGTCGGTGATGAGAGAGTAGCTCATGCTGAAGGAATTAAAAAGGCTAAGTCGAGGTTGAAGGGTAAAGCACCATCAAGTGAAGCATTTAAGGAATTAGAAACATTCAACACCCAATTGCAGCTATTTGGGGATTCGATGAATGTGTCAAACGAAGCAGAAATGAAGAGGCTTGAAATACAAGAGCGCAAGGAGGCAAGGAAACAACGGAAAATTGAGCTAGAACAACATAGGATCCACTGGGAGCAACTAGCTCGTCTAGAACAGAAAGTAAACCGAGAACAGTGGGAAGACGAAATGATAGTAATACTTCAGAACAAAATTAAAAGTTTCACTAATGATGCTTAGGCATTGTAATCTTCATTTTCAATAGTGA